CGCTGTACCCGGTGTGGCTTCCTCTACATCGGGGAAACCAAGCGGAGGCTCGGGGACCGCTTTGCAGAACACCTACGCTCGGTTCGCAATAAACAACTGCACCTCCCAGTCGCGAACCATTTCAACTCCCCCTCCCATTCCTCAGACGACATGTCCATCCTGGGCCTCCTGCGGTGCCACAACGATGCCACCCGAAGGTTGCAGGAACAGCAACTCAAATTCCGCTTGGGAACCCTGCAGCCCAATGGTATCAATGTGGATTTCACAAGTTTCAAAATCTCCCCTCCCCCTACCGCATCCCAAAACCAGTCCAGCTCGTCCCTGCCTCCCTAACCTGTTCTTCCTCCCACCTATCCCCTCCTCCCACCTCAAGCCGCACCTCCATCTCCTACCGACCAACCTCATCCCGCCCCCTTGACCTGTCTGTCCTCCCTGGACTGACCTATCCCCTTCCTAACTCCCTACCTACACTCACCTTTACTGGCTCCATCCCCGCCTCTTCGACCTGTTTGTTTCCTCTCCACCTATCTTCACCTCTATCTATCTTCTATCCGCCTCCCACTCTCTCCCTATTTATTTCAGAACCCCCTTCCCCTCCCCCTTTTCTGATGAAGGGTCTAGGCCCGAAACGTCAGCCTCTCTGCTCCTGTGATGCTGCTTGGCCTGCTGTGTTCATCCAGCCCGGCACCTTGTTGTCTCAAAATGATGAAGCAGTGTTTAGAGCTGGCGTTCCTAAATTTGGATGCACCCAATGTGGAAAGGCAAGCCGTTGGGATTAGCCTGTCAGTTGGGAAAGAAAGTTACATGGATTTAACGTGTCAAATTTGACCAGGATTTGTGTAATTTATACAGATGTTTACAAAACACATGGACCATTTTGTGAGCATATGCAGAGAAAAGGGTTCATTATCTGTGTGTGTGTGTTTTTTTAAAAAAACTGGCAAAATGGATTGTTATGTTAGTGGTTGCATTAAGCTCTATAGAAAACTTTCGAGACCAGCTGAAGACTTATAGCATTGAAGAGCCAATGATGGAATGATGGAGTACAAAGTGAGCCTCAGGGGTCAGTAAAGCTTACAAGACTTTAGTACAATCTCAATGATTGAAACAATCACTAGAATGACCAAACATAGCAGGGCATACAGGGAGTTTGGCCCTCTGCATGCACCAAGGAAATGCCCAGCTTTCAATCAATTGTACAAGGCTTGTGTCAGAAATGGTCATTGCAGAGGCAATGCATAAGGCAAAAGGCTGATGCAGCTACAAAGACATGCCCTAACCCAAAGAGGAATGTGCTAGGGCCAGGTATTAACAGAAATTAAAATAGGTAGCGTAGCTGTTATTGTTGGTGCAGGTGGAGGTGTCCCGAGTGAGTGAGTAGGCAGCAAAGAAGATTTACATGGTTATGGGTGACAGCGAGTGAGAAAATATTGTAGGCAACAGTGAGCGTGTTAGTGAATAAGCTGTGGTGGGAGTTGCAGAGAGGGTTTTTTTAAAATTCATTCACATGATTGAGGGTGTCACTGGCTAGACCATCATTTATTGCCCGTCCCTAATTGCCCAGTGGGCAGTCGAGAGTCAACCATATTACTATGGGCCTAGAATCACATGTAGGTCAGACCAGGTAAGGAACATTGTTTTCTTCCCGAAAGGACATTCGTGAGCCAGATGGGTTTTTCCAACAATTGACAATGGTTTCATTGACCTCTTAATTCTGGATTTTTATTGAATTCAAATTCCACTAGGATTTGAACCCAGATCCCCAGAACATCACCTGGGTCTCTGGATTAACAGCTGAGTGATGATACCACTGAGTCATTGCCTTTCTCTATGTCCATGTGAGATGAGGTGTGGGGAGGAAGATGGTGGCTGTGGAGTAGGTCATTGATCATCTTTCTACATTGTTGGGCATTCCTCCAGATGGCAGAGACTGCCTTAGCACAGTGGAAACCTCAGACCAGGCTGATGTGCCCTGTTGTCATGGATTACAATGCTGGTCCTGGATACAACGGAAGTCCTACCTGTGCAACACATCAACCAGCAGGACCTCCAGATCCGTCTTGCACAGCACAGCACGAATACCATCCATCTACCATGCCCAAGATAATTGTCAGGAACTGTGCAGGACAGCTCTGGGCTGTCAAGTTTTATCCAGTTGCACAATGGGCTTTTGAAGATGACACAGGTGTCAAAGATTCTGGTCAATTCTGGGATATCCATAGAATGACAAAATTCTACTGGCCCTTCAGCCTATCGAGCCTGTACTGCCAAAATATACATCCAACTAGTACAGAGGTCATTGGTGAGAAGTGACTAGGGAGAATTTTAGAAGGAGTCGGTACAGTCAGTACGATTGCTAGTCTTGAGTAGCAGCCTTACCTTGATCATCAACCAGGAACCAGAGAGGCCAGAGGGAGGAGAGAGTGACCAGAGCAGGGAGTAATGTGGGAGCTGCACTTTGTGTGTTTACAATTTCAAAAGTGATGTTTCGGACGGAAGGCCTGGTTGGCAGTAATGGTCAGGTGATTCTTATTTCTTTACATTCAATTTCCATTAACCTTTTCATAGCTGCAAGGTTTTTGAGTCGTGGGATTGAGGTGAGTGATAGAGTAATGCAGTACTGGGATTAAGAGTGTTACCTAAACTGTTGTTTACAGAATAGCGTATTCATGTTTTTTTAGTGAGAATCTAACATGAGGGACCATCTAGTTAGCTGTAAATTAATTTAATAGAAATTTATTTTTAATTAAATAGTTTCTAGAGGGTAAAATGGCAGTCAGTTGGGTAGTCTGCTTCTTGTGCACAATGTGGGAAATCAGAGTCAGGTCAAACATGC